ACCCAGAGCTCCTTCATTGTGGACATTCAATAAAGTGTCGCATACTCTGACCTCTTTTAGTAAGCAGGGATTTCCTTTAGGTAAGGGGAACCCCAACAGTAACCTCAGGGCTTGTTGAGTAATTGGAGGAGATTCCTGTGAGATTGAAGGGGCTCAGGAAAGAGGACCTTAATGTGCAAACTCCTTCGGGGTGGAGGGAAGACCCCACCTCTTCTTTCATGCCACAAGTCCCTGAAATTTTCCCTGCCACTAAACCGAAGTGCTTCCTCTTTCAATGCATGAAGTTTAGTCTGCCCACACGCCTCTGCACGGCTCCTGTAAGGTGTCTTTGATGCTTGCTTTCACCTGCCTCTGTCTGTGTAAAAATATGTGGAGGCCATGTGGGTAAGCCAGCCTCTGGTCTTGTAATTTTCAAAACTTGAGAGATGCAGGGTGGAACAAGGAACAGTACTAAAACTAAACGCATCAGTTATTCATTTGTAGGATTATTCAGCAAATATTTATCGAGTACCTTCTATGTTCAAGACGCGGGTCAAGTGCTACACAATCAGACATAAAGCACAGAGGACCCCACCCCCATCTAGGAGGAACCAACAGAATATTAGAGATGGAAGCCTTAGGGTGATTGCTGCCCTTGGAACGTAGGTCTTTGATGCTTGTAGATTTGAAGTATTTCCTCTCCTACTAAAAGCGCTATGACCTTTGGCAAATATCTGGACATCTCTGAGTCTCGTAAGTTGGAGATGTAATCATTTTGAACTCATAGAATTGAGAATTAAATGGAAGTAATGCATGAAGGACATGTAGTAAATTTTTGTGACATGCCAAGTTTTATTATTAATGTCACCACCCTGCCTAGGCCTTTATGCCACATGGTATCCCCAGTCTGCCACAGTGTGGACGATGCTGCCACTGACCTTGTGATGATTGGTGAGGATCCTAAACCCATTTTATTTCTTACAGCATTTTTATTAGTACATGTTTATAGTAGGTACTGATTGCATCCTAGTGAGGAGTTGGCACATGCACATGTCTTATTTTTTGACCCTTTCCTGTCTCCTACTTTCTTCCCCCTTCCATCCCTTTCTTAACCCCTTTCCTTTTAGAAAATGCTAAATCTCCATATTTTCTATTGTCGATAATTTCTTTTGCTGTGAGCTTCTTATATCAGAGAAAATGTGATCTTTAAGCTTGTGTGTCTGATCTGTGTCATTTAACATTATAGTGTCAAGGTATATCCGGTTTTAAAAATTTATTCTTATTTATGGCAGAATAGTACTCCACTGTGTATAAGTGTATAAGTACCACATTTTCTTTCTCCATTCACCTGTTGCTGGACAAATAGGCTGCTTCCAAGATTTAACTCTTATGAATTATGTTGATATAAGCACAGGCATATATGTATCACTGTAATACAATGCCTTAATGATTTTGGGAAGATACCTAGAAGGCGAATAGCTGGGTCAAATAAAATTCTATTTTTAGCTCTTTGAAGACTCTGCATGATTATTTTCATAAATTCTGGTATGTTGTACTTGTATTATGATTTTATTCTAGGAACTAATTTCTGCCTTGATTTTTTTCTGTGATCCATTGATTCTTCAAGAACATATTGCTTAATTTTCATGTGTTTGCTTAACTTCTAATGGTACTGGGTCTTGCTTCGTAGCCCAGACCCATAGTGGTCCTCCTGTCTCAGCCTCCCCAGAGCTGGGATTGCAGGTTGGTGCCATTGCTCCTGGTTCCATGGCTGGCACAGCATGCTCAAGGTTCTGGGGCCTGCACAGCATATGGTACTAGGGATTGAACCCAGGATCCTTGCACTTGCTAGACAAGTGCTTAGACCACCGAGCTATTTCCACAGTCCCTGTTTGCTTAATTTCTGTGGGGTTTTTTTGCCACTGATTTTTAATTACACTGCAAAAAGATCTGATAGTATGCATGGGATAATTTTAATTCTTTTGTATTTACTTAAGTCTACTTTATGGGATAGTATGCAGTCTATTTTAGAAAAGGTTCCATGAGCCACTGACAAGAATGTATATTCTGTTGTTGGGTGGAACACTCTGTAAATATTAAATTCATTTCTGTAAAGATATAATTGAAATCTGATTTTTTGTTGATTTTTTTTCTAGCTGATCTGTTTGAGATACAGTGGTATTAAAGTCCCCAACTATAATTATGTTGATGTTTATTTGATCTTCTATGTCCAGTAGTATTTGTTTATAAAGTTGAGCACATTAGTGTTGGGTACATATATATTTATGTTATTGAATTGTTGTCTTAACTACTATGCACTGACCTTCTTTGCCTCATCTGTTCAGTTTTAGCTTGCAGACCACTCGGTCTACAAATAAGATAGCTCATTTTCAGGCTCCTGTTGCATGGAACATTGTGTTTATCTTTTGATTTCTAGCTTGTTGTGTCTTTTTGGATTAAATGTGTTTCTTGTGTACATCATGTGATTGAAGTTCTTTGGTTTTTGTTTTTGATTCAACCTGCCAATCTGTGTCTTCTGACTGGGGAGGTGAGAGCATTTATGTTCAGAGTTATGATTAAAACATACAGATTGATTCCTACCATTGCATTATGTTCTTGTTGCTGATTTATCTTTCCCCTTCTGCTTAACTATTCATATTTCTTGATGTATTTCATTCCATTAGACATTTTGGCATTGTTAGCTTCCTTATATTTTTTCAGGACATCCTTGAGAACTCTTCAGAGCACTGGTTCAGTGACTGTGAATTACTTCCGGTGCTCTTTGTCATGGAAATGGCGTATTTCTCCATCAATTTTGTAACATCATTCTGCAGGACCTATCAATCTGGATTGGAATTTATTTTCTTTCGTAATATGAAACTCTTTGGCCTTGATGGTTTGTGTTGACAAGGCTATTGTAATTCTAATGAGTTTACCTTTATAAGTGTTTGCTTGCTTTTCTCTAATAGGTTTTAAGGTTTCTGTGTTTGAGCTGGACTTCTAGAGTTTTGTCTATGATGTGTTGTGGACAAGTTCTTTTCTGCTGGTGGTTATTTGGGGTCCAATATACCTCATTAGCTATACATTAAATTCTTTCCCTAGATTAGGAAAGCTTTCTGCTATTATTTCTGTAAATGGGGTCTTATAGATCTGTGCTGTCTTCTGATTTTTTTTACTAATACCAATTAATCTTAGATTAGTCTTTTTTGCATCATCAAGCACTTGCTAGATAGATTTTCTGTGTGTCTTATTGTTTTTAAGATATTTCTGAAAATATGTTCACCTGTACCAGTCTTAGCTTCTAGTTTTTTATATTGTATCCTCATATTGATTGTTTCTGCTGTCCACACATTCAATAGAATTTTTTATGCCCTGGATTTTTGTTTGGTACCTTTTTGTGAACTCTAATTCTTTACTGAAGTAGCCATTCAACTTACCAAATAGTCACAATACTTTGATATATTAATCTCATTATCCAGATAAAACTTTGGATGTCAGAGGGTGAAGTTTTTCTTCAAGATCCTATGCACACAGGAGTACCACGTCCATACTTAGTGTTCATTGCTGCTTAAGAGAAGAGCCATTAACAATGTCAAGACATTTTCAGAGCGCTTCTGAGGTTCCATTAGAGGATAGGAAATAAAGAGAAGGAAAAGAGAGTTAAAAGTAAAGGTATAGGGGCTGGGGAGATAGCTCAGTAGAATAAGTGCTTGTCTGGCAAGCGCAGGGTCCTGAGTTCAATCCCTGATACCGCAAAAAATAAATAAATAAATAAATAAATAAATAAAAATAAAGGAATAGGAGAGAAATTAAGGAAAAAGGAAGAAAAGCAAAGAGGGGAATTCACAATAAAGAGAGTGTTCGCCAAAGTTGACTCTTCCCATCCCTGGTGGCAGCACCCACAGCCACACGGCCAGCCCTCAGGTTGTATGTTGCTGTTCTAAGAAAGGCCACCTTAATTTTAACTCATAATGGTTGTAAATATCCATTTATAATTCTACTCCACAGATGTGATGATTGTGTTTGAGGGTCTTTTAGAGAGCATGGTTCACCCTTTTAACTTAGCTGAATAGAGAGTCTGGTTCTAATGGTCCAGGCAGATCTAGGAGTAAGCAAGTCAGTCAGGTGAATTCAGTGTGGTATTGTCTCAAATGAGAAGGAGCTATGTACCAATTCCACAAAAGGAATGTAAGCATTCTGTACTGCAAACATGTACTAAGGAAAAAAATTTTAAGTAGGAAAAGAAGACTTTCTTGGGAGTGATTTAATTCTCACATCCCTGTGTTAAACTAGACTGATTGAAACCTTCAATCTGCTGTCTTTCCATCATCCAATGAGATTTTCTTAACAGCAGCTGTTCCAGATCAGAGGGTCTCACTATGTGGCCCAGAGCAGCAGCAAGCCAGCGGCATCACCTGGGAACCTAGAAATGGGAGGGACTATCTATCTCATCAGACCTCCTGAACCAGATGCCATGGGGTGGGCCCAGCATTCTGCTTCTCACTGAGCCTTTTGGCTACTCCTGAGGCAGACTCGTATTCGAGCATCACTGTTTTAAGGGCTGGGATCAAAATCAAGGAATTGCTAACAGAATTTCTCTTTGCTATTTTGTGCCATGTGTAGAGTACAAGCCCAAATCCTTCTTTGGCCCATTTATGGCCTCTTGAGAAAGGCTCTCTACCTCTGTTGGCATTAACATGTGCTGCTCTTCACTACTATATAAGTCTTCTGTGTATGTTTTGCTGCCTAATTAAACTGACATTGCTTCTAAGGTGGGCGCCTGTTTATAACAAACTAAATCTCTAGTTCAGGGCTATGCATGCAGTGTGCTCAATCTGTACATGTACGAATGAATGGTTTTCCAAATGTATAATTCATGTTATTCTTCACTGTCACTAATATAATAATGCATCGATATTATCATAAATTTTAGTAGTGTCTATTAATTTCCAAAACACACAATACCTGCATCTTCTTCCTTGGAATAAGTGTGTAGACTTGGGTGTGGGTCTTGCTGACCTTTTCCTCCTTTTTTCTTAGTTTCCTTACAAATTCTAGCATATGGAGCCTCTGTCTGGAGCCTGCACACGTAGTGGAATGGAACGTCATTCTGTTTTCCATTCTCATAACCCTGAGCGGGCTCCAAGTGATTGTCTGCCTCATCAGAGTGATCCTTCAGCTATCAAAGATGTTGTGTGAAACCTACTCCGTCATCATCCAGGTAACGGCCTCTCGGCTCTCACTGTTCCTCCTCTGTCTTACTCCTACTGCTTCAAATTCATTATTACTCAAAGGTTTCTAGAGTTTCCCTCAAAGATTTCCAATTCTACTACTTCATCTCTACTCAAACTCTAACAATTTTCTCTGAGATCCGATGTGTCCATCCACTTCTGTATGTGAATTGAATCACTTTGATAATTATAAACTCTATGCTCTGTGATATATGATGAGAGTAATACAGCATTTTTTAATGAACCACATTTCATTTTTTTATGTAGAGATTCCCCAAAGGATGAAGAAATTTTACCATTTATTAAGATTTTTTGTTCATAGGTTAATTAAAGGCTTAGAACTTTACCCTACTAAGGTAACTTCTCTGAACTACTAAATCATTTTTATACCCTGTGCATTAGCATGCAACTTGAAAGGGGGAAAGATGTCTTTATCCCACTGAAATTGTTAATAGAGTTATGGTTGAAACTGTAAATAAGTACAAAATAAAGAAAAAATATAAATGAAAAATTGTGTCTTTGGTTTAGCAATGTAATATGTATAATGCCTTTCCTAAAAGTTTCAAATACTTATTCTCCTATTCTACCATGTTTTAAATATAAAATATAAGTTTAATTGCTAATGAGATTATGAATAATTAATCAAGCCAAACTTATAACTTATTTTTTTTCCTTTTTTTCTATAGCCTGGAATCATCTGAATAAGGACAAGAATGTTTCCATTATCAGCATATGAGCATCTGTCAAAGTCTTATATCTACTGTATAAACTTTAGGGCAATTTTCAAATAATAGAGTCTTTATATTTAGTATATACTACGTCAATTTTTGAACCATACAATCCTCACTGGAAGTGCCAACAGCAATACTGCTACCTTTTTATTTAGAATGTTTTTCAAAGTTATATGTGCCAGAAACTCCAGAAATGTTTGTATGCTGTGATCAAACAAAGCCGTCTCAAGAATCTGTAATGCAGAAGCAAGAATGTGAGCAAAGCTTCGTGCAAATCTGTGTAATTGCAATATTGCTTAATATACTGAAAAATTATAAATGGCTAAGGCCTAACTTGAGGGGGAAAAGTACGAGTGGCACATTATGTGTGAAATGATATGGCAATTACAAAAGGTATTTTAGAAATTAATAATGTCACATAAAAAGGCAAGTTACAAAGCCGAACATAGGGAGCATGCCTGTAATTGCAACACTTGGGAAGCTGAGGCAGGAAGATCAGTATGGGTACGACGAGGCCAGCCTGGGCTACATAGCAAGTTCACAGTCAGTCTGAAATACATAGTTCTTGTATCCAAAAGAAGAAAAACAACCAAGTAAAGGCAGTTTGCAAATTGGTATTTTTCAGCATAAGCATAGCTATTTAAATGTCTGGTGTTTTGCTGTACTGAAAAATTAAATTTCGGGATAGAAACTAAATCTAGAAGGAAATTCACCAAAATACCAGCTGTGAATGATTGAGATCACTGGCAATGATGCTTCCTACTTTTCTAATATCTTTGACACTTATTGAACGTGTTATACCATAAATATTTTTAAGTGTATTTTTATTACTGGGGTTTTAAAGGCTTATGGCCTTTCTACAGGCTTCTCCACATTAAATATCTGCAAGCATCATGCAAGAGCACTTTAAATGACTTTCAATGACAAAACTCCAAAAGGAATTTTATACAAATTTATGCCACCTACTTAACTCCTGCTCTTATTTTCTTGTTCCTGGTGGTGACAAGAAGACATAGTCTTGAATACATAAGCACCTGGCTGCTGTTAAAAATAACCATTTACCAGTTGATAGCTGTGTCATGAGACTGTTAACACTGGATCAAGAGAAAAAAATTCAAGTAGAACATTTGTCTGTACACTTGCCACCTGTATGGACCATGCTCCCTTCAGGGCCACTGCCATGCCTCATGGCTTCCTGTCAGCCTCGGGCCCGGTGTGCACTCTGGGCTGACATTTATGCCTGGTCTTTCTACTGTCTGTGGCTGCTCTGCCGAGTGCCATCTCCACCACAGAATTTCCAGGCCTTAACACTTCTGCCACTTCTCCATTGCTGTCCTCCACAGCTGCTGTCAACACCTGTGCCAAAGCCAGGAACAGTCCCGAGGACTGGGCAGTACAGTCTCCTTGGTGCCTGGAGGCCGACAGCCTCCACTAGGGGAAACCCCCTTGTCCACAGCTTTTGCTGAAGTGAGCATTCTGAAAGCAAGCTGTGTTGTACACCCTGTGATCCTCCTGCTCTGGACCCAGCTGGCAGAAGCAGGGGTGTCTCCCGAGCCTGGGGAGCCCATTGTCATGCTGGTGGTCTGACCCAAGCTGGAGTAAACTCTGTCCAAGTAAGATTGGTGGTTATATCAATTGTACTTGAGAATTTGAACTAGGAATCTCAAAAGGAAGCTTTGCTGTGAAGAAAATGATTAAAAGTTGAAAAAGAGAGTATGTGTTTCGTGCTAATGATGTCCCTGTGGAAGGAGGACATACGGACTTCTGTCCCTTCATTCATCTGCCTTTGTCCATGGTGAACAGAGACAGTGAACAGGAAGACTGACTTCTGCTCTTGGACTCTTGGAAGATCTCACTGCCTTTTCATTGTCTAGGTCATTTCAGTAAAACTCCATCTAAATCAGCGTGACTCTGCTCATTGCAACCAAAATGACCCAACCAAAGTCTCCCCTTTCTAGACTCTGTGTTAGAGCCTTCTAAGGGAGAGGTGTGTGGGCCCCCGAGTGGTACAGAGATTCACTGAACTTTCTTTAAAAACTAATTCATAGTGCTGAATGCTTCAAAGCGCTTAGACACGAGTTGTTAGTACCCGGTCCAGGGGACAGCCCAAGGTGTGGACACCTCGCTGCCCTCTGAATAAGCCATGCTTCTGACGGCCCATGGATTTCTCACTCAGTGAGGGCCCAGAGCATGTTGTACCCAGGCCCTTGTGAAATTCTCCCCCAAATGCCTCAGCCCTCTTGTAAGAAGATTTCTGGCAAATCAGACCCTCCAGTTTTTCAGACAAATCACCTGGCTCAATTCTGTTAAGATTCAATGTATCCACACATTGAGTGGACTCTGAATAAATGTTGGCTAATTGTACCACAGAACTGGGGACACTGTCTAGTGTTGGCATATGGCCACAGCAGTGTGACACTTTTACTATATTACAATTAAATTTCAATATAGCCACCAAAACTTCTGCATTTGAAGATGTTGCTGATGGCATTTTAAGTTAAACCGAATTCAAACAGATGGGTGCCATTTGAGGAAAGATTTAAAAACAACTACATAGTTACATGCAGACATGTGTAAGCCTTCAGGTACATAGAACAATGACTAGAAAATATTTCACTGTTAGCAGTTAATAAGAATCACCTGATAAGGGAGTTAAGAGTTATAGTACCTTACATTGTTCACAAATTTCCTTTGAAAGTATACTACTAGAATTATTAGAAAAAAATGATATTTTTTAAATAGGAAGTATCTTCTAATGTTTTCTGTCAAATCCATTCAATGAGTTTAAAATAGGAGAGGGAGGTATGTATGTCACAGATCTTTTCTTACACCGTAAGAGATTCTAAAGAGATTCTATTTCTGTTAAGAATAAGCACCCTGCCAGCTAGTCCTAGTTCAGAGTAAATTCTATTTTATATATTTCTTCCCTTACATATATTATTTATCTCTAGTTTTCCTTGAGTCTATCTCACTATTGTTTTCTTTTTGAATTGAATGTCTATCTTATTAATGTTCAATCTTTCTCTCTCCTTAAAAAACTACTAAAATTTTATATTTTCATTTATGTATAACTTTGGGTTTTTTTTATTTATTTATTTTCCATAATTTTATTGAGAAACAAATAGCAATGAGACAGTTTCAAATCAAATTGGTATTGTGTATTCAAAGTGGCTAGGATAAATATATAGTTATATTCTCTTAATGAATAGAGGGATTTGTTCTTTTCTTTTTTGTTTTTTTCTTTTTTCTTTTTTTTTTTTTTTTTTTTTCAGAACTGGGGATTGAACTCAGGCCTTTGCGCTTGCCAGGGAAACGCTTATTCCACTGAGCCATCTCCCCAGCCCTAATGGATTTGTTCTAATGGTGTTTGTAAATAGGATATCAGCTTCAATAATTAACACATTGCATACATTCTTCCTAGTGGTTAATTGCTGTACAAGCTGCAGACATGAGATCCTATTTACAAACACCATTAGAACAAATCCATTAGGGCTGGGGAGATGGCTCAATGGAATAAGTGCTTCCCTGGCAAGCGCAAAGCCCTGAGTTCAAATCCCCGGTTCTGAAAAAAAAAAGAAAAGAAAAGAACAAATCCCTCTATTCATTAAGAGAATGTAACTATATACACTTGGAATACACAGATACAAAATGGACATTCATCTGTATCCCCTTTTTTTGTTAAGTTCCGTTCCGTTTTTTGAGTATTATAGGTGTGTAAACTCAATAAAATATTCCAGAAGAGTCCAGTAGCCCATAATAGTATTGGGTCTTCCGCTTGACTGGCAATATCAGAAATTGTTGACCTGAGTCCCCTACAGCTCAGCATAACAGCATGGCTTTACTTCTTATATTTCATTTTTATACTTTTCTGCTGGGTGGTTAAGACCAAGGTAAAGCAGGACTTATGCAGCAAGAGTTGTAGCTTTTGGGTCTGATGAGGTCAGTGAAATCCCCTCAGGATTTATCCTGAGATCCTGTATCTCAGATTGTAGAACCTTTGTCAGTGTCATTTATGTACAACTTTGAATACATCACACAAGTTTTGAAATGTATTTTCCTTAGCATTAGTTACAAATGCTTTCTACATTTTCATATGATTTGTTTTGCTTTTTAATTTTATTTATTTGTGTGTGTGTGTGTGTGTGTGGCCAGCTTAGCCCACCAGGGGGCGGGGCTGGCTGGCATGTGGTGCTGGGGGATTGAACCGGGGTCCCTGTGCTTTGCTAAGCTTGTTCTAAGTAGATGCTCTAGACCACTGAGCCATCTCACCAGCCCCATGATTTGTTTTTTGATCCATGAGTTTTTAAATGTGCTTTACGATTCTCAGATATGTAAGGTTTTTATGTTTTTAATTGATTTTTAATTTAATTTTATTGTACTTACAGAATGTGAGCTATTTGATTCTGATGCTCCGAAAACACTTAGGATCTGTTTTATGAATGATTCTTATAAATATTCTGTGTACTTAGAAAGTGTATGTTTTCCCCAGATATTGGGTACATGATTCGCACATGGCCAATTAAGTCAAGTTCTTAATTTTGTTGTTGTTATTCAGTATTTTTCATTTTCAGTTGTTTGGTTGATTTAGAGCTGCTGTGAGGTCAGGGTACATCTGTACACACCAATCTGTGGGCATTCACTGATAAATTTATCCCAGAGACAGGGCCGGGCACATGGATAATGTGCGAGTCATCTGTAATAACAAAAGGAGGAAGGGCCAGGGGTTTCAAGCCTTGGGCCTGCCATGCTGGGCCCCCCCCCACCCTGGGGCAAGCTGAGTTGGCAACTGAGACTGGGCATGGTGGCACGCGCCTGCAATCCCAGCTCTTGGGAAGCTGAACACAGGCGGATCACTAGAGTCCGATCTAGTAGTGAGACCTTGGACACCCTGTAGACCCTTCCCTAAAATACAAAAAAAAAAAAAAAAAAAAAAAAAAGGAGGCAGATTGTTCAGTTTCAAATCTGCAGGACCTTGTCAACTACTGACCTCTCTGTACCAGTTTCCTCCGTTAGACAGGAGCAACACTAGGGTTGCTGTGAAGATGAAGTGGGTGAGCACACAAAAACTCTTAGAACTGGGGTGGCTTTACTCAGAGTCCAGGAGCAGTTGAAGGAGACAGGCTGGCTGCAACCAGGAAATGCCACCAAAGCAACAAAAAGGCAAGGTGATGGGAGAAGGTGATAGGGCCAGGGGTCTAGAGAACAGAAGGAGATGGTAAGAGGCGGGCATTACCAGGCAGCCCCAGTGCACCGGAAACTAGCACGTCCTGACTTCCTTTGTCATAGGCTTGGAGATGATGAGTTCAGCAGCCTTCGGACTCAGGTTCCAGGACACTCATCCAGCAGCCTGTGTGCTTTCATCCCCCAGGGGAACAAGAAGGAACAGGGGCAGTTTGAGGTTACTATTAAGAAAATCAAGCTACACATACCAAGAGACTTGTGCCGGGCTCTGCTTACTCCTTTGTGAAATGAAGCTGGGAGTTCCTATCCAGCAGGACAGTGTGACAGTGAGTCAAGTTGGAATGTGTGTAATTGAGCAGGCAGAGCAGGTACATGAACCTGATGACTAAAATTTTTATTTTAGAGCACTGGATTCCATCCGTGTCTGGCTGCACAGGTCAGAGATGACACCATTCCTGATCAAAGAACTTAACTCACTTGAAAAAAAAATGTTTTTTCAGGATTAAGAGAACACACCCCCCTCTAATTTCAGGCCTATATAAAATCATGCTAATTTATAACAGGCTTCTTATAAAGACATAAAAGTACAAATATAGAGAGATTAGGAGAGGCTACAACAGCAAGAGAATTTGGGGAGCTACAACGCAAACTAGGAGAGTTTGCAAACTGTCAAAATCAACTTAAGAAACATAAGTGTCATGAGCTATCAGTTGGGTAAACTGAGGACCAGCCTGATTCACACCTGAGACTTTTCAAAAGACTCCTGAATTATAGTACCAGGTACCGTCTGACCCACAAGTCTAAGAAGACTGCTAGAACGAGACAGAACTTAAGAGTTTCCACTTCCCTTCTCTCCATGTGGCTCAGTAGCAGATATATACTCTAGAGAGCAGAATTTCTGAATTGGAGAAAACTAGATTCAATAAAGATATGTGTGCTACACCCAAATCAGACAGATCAAGCGCCTTGTACTTCTGCGTACTGGGTACTGAGACACTCCCCTGCCCAAGCCTTCCCAAGGCCCTCAGGTCTCAGAATGATGGCAGTCAGAGTGTCACCAGGTCAGCTAGAGAGTCCCTAGAGAGGCTGACCAGTGGAAAACAAACTTAGATAACGACAGTGGCAGATCAACTGTCATCGCACGCACCCCCATGCCATGGCCAATCTCTGCAAACTATGAATATGTCAGCTCAAAGTGGATTTTACAGGTGTGATGAAGAATTTTTGAGCGAGGTTATCCCGGTTATGCAGGTGAGCCCAATGAATCACAAACATCTTTATAGGAGCGGAGCAAAAGGCATCCTGTCTCACCAAGATGGTGCTGCTAGAGAGTGAGCAGTTCCTGACTGAGCTGACCAGGCTCTTCCAGAAGCGCTGACGTCTGGCAGTGTGTTCATCACCCTGAAGAAATACAATGGTCGAACTAGATCCGTCCAAAGAAGGGCTCTGTGGAGGGCTGTGAGCCTGCAGATAACAAATGTCTGTTGAGAGCTACGGATGGGAAAAAAGATCAGCACTATGAGGAGCTCTAAAGAAGTGAGGAAGTTCTAGCTGGCCTATTCAAGCCTGCTGAGAGCTAACATGGACGGGCTGAAAAAGAGACAAGAACAAGAGTAAGAAGGCCCAAAGAGCACAGCGAAGGGCTCTGGGTTCTCTGCTCTTACCAGTTAGCCAACGGCTTGCTGTTTTTCCTTTTGGCCACAAAGCTAGATTTTTGGTTTCCCTGTGGCAACTATTTTCATGTGAGATGAGGGTCATTTTGGAGAGAAAAAGGTTATTGTGTACAGGGTAGTTGTGGTAAGAAGCTAGTTCAGATCTGTGCTGCATGGTTGTGTTCTTAGTTTCCAAAGACCTCTGTAACCATTTCCCTGGAGAATAATGGATCATTAAATGTTTGTGTCAAAAAAAAAAAAAAAGAGAGAGGAGCAAGAGTACTTTTGTTTGTTTGTTTTAAACATTTGTCAGGTTTTTTTTTTTATTATATTAGTTTAATTGTTTATGTTCTCAATTAAAATAGTTGTATTATTTAAAAAAAAGAAAGGCACTAATTGCCAAAATATATATCCATAATTAAAGTTACCATTATAATACACATTCTTAGATATTTTCTTTGCATAACATTTTTAATGAACAATTTTGATTTTTTCATTAATTGATCAGTACAATTTATATGTACATAATGATCATATTCATCATATGAAATTCCTGTAAACAAATAACAAACTCAGAGAGAGAAATTAGAGAGACAACACCTTTCATAATGTCAACAGAAAAATGAAATACATAGGAATGAATCTAACAAAGGAAGTAAAAGATCTCTACATTGAAAAACTATAGAATTCTGAAAAAGAGGATTACAGAGGATATCAGGAAAAAGGAAGATATTTCTTGCTTTGAGGAGGTAGTGAAAATAGCCACACTCCCAAACATAGTGAAAATAGCCACACTCCCAAAATTGCTATATGGGGCCAGCCAGATTGCTCAGCAGACTAAAATACCTTGTTAGGCAGAGCAAAAGGACCGGAGTTTGATTCCTGGCACCATCTGCTGTGCTGGCCCTGTCCCTGGGGTGCACTGAGACTGCGACTGAGACTGGGTGTGGTGGTGCACCCCTGTAATCACAGTGCTTGGGAGGCTGAAAACAGGAGGATCACTATGAGTCTGAACTGTGTAGAGAGACCCTGTAGATCCTGTACCAAAGACATTTAAAAAATACTATATGGATTTAATGTAATCCC